CGGATAGTAATAGGATAGGATTCTCTTGATAGTAAAATGTATGCGTGTGTGTATATAAATATATATATATACTGGGTCCCACGCCTTTGTTACAAATGGGAGATGACGGTATAATGTTTAGTTATGTCAGTTAAGTACTTTTATAAAAATTAAGTACTTTTATAAAAATAAATGCCTCGTGGTGTTTGTTAGTCATCATACTTGTTTACAAGCTTCTACTTCTTGTATTACCGATGATTTCTAAACCACGCATCAAAGATACAGCGAAATATCATCATCAAGTCCTTTACAGAACATCGCTCTCCTTACGGCATGCCTGAGAGTATCCCTATCCCTAGCCAACTCTCCAACCCCATGCGCTTTCAATGCCAATGCATCTTCAATGTTCCGTTTCCATTTGCACGTAGTCGACCCCTGTTTCGCTTTCCACAAATCGCACCCTCCATCATCGTCTTTTGCAAGCCGCCATGACGTTTGATGTGGCTAAAATACTTGAACTTTCGGGACAGGATGCTGTTTATGAGCCAGTCAGTTCTCATTGATGTTTAAATCTAACAGATGCACCCTCGATCAAATTATAAAATTAGAGGACCATGGATTGGATTGGCTTTTTACCCCACCAGGACATCACACAAGCGATAAACACCCGATGACACAACGTGCCACCATGTGGATGAGGATCACCGTGGAGAGGTCCCAGAAACCGCGTTCAGACATTTGGCCATATTGATGGCCTGCCTATATTGCGGCCCCTGGCAAAAGCCAGAGTGGGGCTTCAAACAACAAAAAATTACGTCCTAACAAGGACATAAGAGATGTATCTAGAGGACCATGTTAAAAAGTCATTTAAAACAGGAGGTAAGACAATGGCAGTGTTCCTGGATCTGGAACAGACATACGACCAGTGCTATCGGCCAGCAGCTTTGTTTAAAGCAGTTAAATTAGGATTCACAGGAAGAACCTATAAATATATCCGAAGCTTTCTACAAGATAGAACATTTTCAGTACTAGTAAATAACGAAAGATCACAAACTTACGATCAGTTGAATGGAATTCCTCAGAGTGCGGTTATATCCCTTACCCTGTTCAGCATATTAGTAAACGACCTTGATGAAACCATTACGAACAAGGAAACAGGACTAACTCAATTTGCGGACGATTGTGCAATCTACCACAGCCATAATCAGATCTCCTGCGCTAAAAAAAGACTACAGAAAAGTCTAAACGAAGTAGCACATTGGATGGGAAAATGGGGTTTTAAAATCAACGTCGACAAACAGTAAGCATGGTATTTAACTTTAAAATACAGCTTAATTATGACCCTGAAGAAACGAGACTTCAAATTAATGGTAGAACAGTTCAACGGACACGTTCGACGACATTTCTAGGAATGATTCTGGATGAGCAAATGACCTGCGCTAAGCACATCGATGATCTTGTAGTAAAGTGCAAAAAGTTCAATAATATGCTGAGAATGATTAAAGGAAACGGATGGGGAGCACACCAGGACACCCTAATAGAATTTTATAAAGCATTCGTTAGAGGCAAAATGGAATACGGAAGCGTAGTATACGAATCAGCATCAGAGAACAGCAAATGTAAACCTAATAGGATTCAGTGCCAAGCTCTGACCTCTATCATGGGCGTTTGCAAAGGGACATCGAGAGAGGCCATGGAGGTAGCACTAGGCATCACACCGCTTAACCTCAGAAGGAAGCAACTAACTTATAGCTATTGGATGAAAGCGGCCAACGATGCCAGACACCCAGCTTCATACGCTTTTCATCATAACATTACCCACCTAGGTAACAGACCGGTCAGAGATATTCTGAGACCAGCAGCCTAGGACGCTGCACTAGAAATTAACGATAATGAGGACATGGCTAGGACTCTGGATGCAAGCGTTAGGTTTGTCCCTCAATTCCCTCCATGGAGACTAGAGCTGCCCAGGACAGACATGAGTCTGATGAAAATTATTAATAAGAATACTGAAACATTTGAGGCCAAAACAATAACAGAAGAATACATAGACCAGATCCGATCAGACAATCTGGTTACATACAATAACGGGTCTAAGAATGAAGCAGGAGAAGTAGGAGCAAGAGTAATACTCCCACAGCGGAATATGCAAAGAGAATATAAAATAAAACAGATCATTTGGCAGTATGCACAGCAGAACTAGTCGGCATAATGAAGGCACTAGAGATGGTAATAAATAAACCTCCAACTAAATTTACCATACTGACAGATTCATTGTCCTCAGTGCAGACTTTAAAAACACATAAAACTAGCAGTAGACCAGATATTAAAGAAACGATCCTAAATCTAACAACTCAACTCAAGAATAAAGGATGCCAAGTCACCATTGCATGGGTACCAGCAAATAGAGGTGTATTAGGCAATGATAAAACTGACCAAGCAGCCAAAAATGGAGCTAAATGTGATGTTTTAGTAGATGTAGGACTCGGAAAAACTGAAAGGACTAGCATAATCAAACGAT